TAAAAGTACGGGCATACAAATAGTACCGAAACAGCTCAACAGCCCATACAATACCTAAGCACTCCTTCTCTGTAGTGAATAACTTTTGCTCTCTAGGCTGAAGCTTTCTACTTGCATACGCTATAGGGTGTTTCTCCCGTTCCTGATCTTTCTGACTTAAGATTGCCCCAAGACCTCTTTTCGCGGAATCTACTTGCAAAACGAACTCGTCTTCCCAATGTGGTGGGTTCTGCATAGCAGCTTTTAGATCCTGAAATGCCAGTTGATGGGTTATATTCTACTGAACTTTAGAAGGATTCTTACCTTTAATTAGGTCAGTCAAAACAGCAGCTCGTTCTGAAAAGTTACGAATAAACTTTCTGTAATACCCAGGTAACCCAAGAAAAGATCTTATCTGCTTCTTAGGCTTAGGTCTTGGATAATCTACAATGGCTTGAACAAGGGCTGTGCGGGGCTCAACTCTATCGCCACCAACGCGGTGACCGACGAAATCTACCGTTGACATTGCAATTTTGCATTTTGAAGGTCGTGTTGAGTTTAGCCTCTTGCAAACGATGTAAAACTTGTCTAAGCTCAGAAAGATGCTGTGGGAAAGAAGTGGGCGTGTCAACCTCAACATCAACGATGTAAGCGTCTGCAAAATCTAACCCTTTGAGGACTGTTTCCGACATCATCCTTTGAAAAGTATAGTAGAGGTCCCCAAGGGAATTTGCCAGTACCCTTTCGTGAGATCAATTGTACTGATGTACTTTGCATAAGCAATTTTCTTAATCATTCTTTCCATGGATGGAATTGGATAGGCATCCATCCTAGTCACATGGTTCAATTTCCTGTAATCTACACATAGCCGAATAGGACCGCCCAAGGACTTGTGGAAGGACGAATTATGCCCATTTCTAACATTTTTTCAATCTCTTTATTGATATCCTCTTCGATTCTTTGAGGTTTTCTAAAGGGTACACTTCCGATGGGTGACGACCCGCCAGTGTCGATTTTGTGTGAAGCTACATTCGTTACGTTTGGTTTTCCCGAAAACACATCAGAATACTCATGTAATATATTCCTCACCTGGCTCCTTTGACCTTCGGTTAAGGTATCCGAGATCATAACATCTTCCCAGGTTTCCTCGTGACCAAAGGGGGGAAAAATAATAATAATAATAAAAATAATAATAATAATAATGTAATAATTTTCGTGGGGTAATGGCATCTCTGGGGACTCTTCCATCACTAAAGCGGCCTTTTCGTCTCTGCTCTGCCATTTACTTAACAAGTTAATATGATAAGTGCAATGCTGCTTGCAAGTCTTACCGGTGTCAAGTTCATAATACAACCCATCTTCTAGTGCTCTCGTGGCTGTAAAAGGTCCTTGCCATTTCATCTCTAATTTACTTCCAGGGGTTGGCAACAAAACTAAGGCTTTATCTCCGGCCTCTAAGCGCCGCTCTTAGCTACGGGTATCATACCACCGTTTTTGCTTACCTTGAGCTTGCTTCAGATTCTCTTGAACAACTTGTTGCATTGTTGCAAGTCGTCTACGGATCTCCAGGACATGTGTGATCAGGTTTTCTTCTGAAGGCTGCCCTTCCAACCAAGTTTCCTTAACAACCGCGAGGGTCCTCTCACAGTACGCCCATAAAGTAACTCAAATGGAGAACATATAACCCCGAAGCGTCTAATTCCCCTTCTCTGTTTAGAACCATGCTCGGGCTTTTTAGCCAACGCAGCCGTCCAATCAGAAGCACGGAAAATTATGTTGCCCAAATATGGAATCAGAGAATTCAAGGCTAAAACGTTTGAGCTTGCAACGCTTATACATGTACGTCTACAACCGATAGAAATCGTTTCGTGGCATAAAAGATAAAGTAATTATGCTCGTATGAAATACAACCCTAGGAAAACATAAAGAGCCACAAAGTTATAAGCGGTATGCCTTGAAAACATCGACCAGCGACGAAATAAGACAAGGGTGTTTACATTTCTTCACGATATCGCGAAGCCTCTCGCCGAAATCAGCAAAATGCGTTTGCAGCCTCTTTGACCGACAAAGATCATCCTCAGGCTACTAGCTGCAAACCTATCTACCACGTCAAACCAGTTATCTGCAACTTCTGTTCTCATTCAGCAAACCCAGCATGGCGACTACAAACAAAATGATGAGGCAAGCTTTGCAGAAACGTTGTACAAGGCGCCGACGAAGTCAGGAACGGAATCTTTTTTTTTTGTGAGTGTAGATTTCTTAATTCATTCAGAACAGTACGCGAACACATGTATGGCAGTTTTGATTAGGCGTGTGACATGTAAAAGTTTTTTTTTCTTTTTGGGAACAAAGAAAAGTTTTAAGCTGTGAAATTTGCCTTCGAGGACTTAGGCCATGTTTCTTTCATACGATATTGAAACGAGATTTATGTATTTATAAATGTTTCATAGACGTTTTATATGTTTTTGATAGAGTTTTCAAGAAAAATCGGGAAATGCGCCCGATCTGAGACAGATAAGCTTAATTTTAGTGTTAATTTTTTGCCATGTGCTCAGCAGATTTTACTTATGGGAACGGATCCTGACAATCCAGTCAATGTTACTGAATTGCTTTTAACGGTAAACTGATGGGTTTTCGAATAAAACTTTTCAAGAAACAATTTGTCTGTTTACTGTTTTCTGTTTGTTCATTCTTAACATTAGTCGAAAATATGATCGCCGCATCTAAGTTTTAATATTAACTTGCGTTTCATCCTTCCTATTCAGTGTCGTAATACACGCATCACTTCTGCTCGATTCTGCGAAGATGTCAGGGAATTTTATACAATTTATACTTTCCAGTTCAGCAATTAGTGAATTTGTTTTTTGACTAGTTATTCTAGATAGATAGTAAGTGATTTTTTAAAGGTTATTTGCGCTAATGGTAAGGCAAAAATCGTTTTAAAGTAACACCTTTAAGAAATCGCTTCTCTTTTAATACGGTGCATGTCATTTGTACGTAGTCGACTTTGTCTCATTAGAAGGAACTAACTCAGTCTTGGTCATTTGGGGATTGATACTGTATTCCGTTTTTTGTCAAATATTACCTCGTAAAACAATAAATGCTTTTTGCACCGCATCATTTACATCGCGATACAAGTTTTCCTATAGAGCACTCACGCGAAAATCTCGCTTATTAGTAATTCCATATTAGGAAGTAAATTTTGATTGGTTCCCCAAAAAACCCGAGCATTGCGACAAAGTTATACGTTTCGGGGTTATATGCTTCTGAGAATGGCCAGTAGACTCACAAGGAGCTTCTCTGAAACCAAAAAGCAAATATGGGAGGTACTTGTCCCACATCTGCACGCGCTCTCGAACAAACTTCTTTAACATACCCTTTAAAGTACCTTTGAATCTTTCCACTAGCCCATTTGCCTCAGGGTGGTATACTGATGTTTTAATCTTAGTGACCCCTAACTGGTCGTACAACTGGGCCAAGAGCCTACTCATGAAACTGGATCCCTGGTCAGACACTACTTCATCGGGAATATCCACCCAAGAGAAATACTGAATCTATGCTTCCGCGACAGTCTTTGTGTTTGTTATTTGCAAAGGTATGGCCTCTGGATACCGTGTAGCATAATCTACTATTGTTAAAATGTATTTATAGCCAGTTGTTGTCCTAGGTAATTGACCAACGGTGTCTATAGCGATCTTCTTAAAAGGCTCGGTAACGATTTCCACCGGTTTTAAAGGTGCTCTTTTTGACTTTAATTACCTGGCTACCAACTGACATTGAGGACAAGTTGCACGATATTTGCGTACATCAAAACTTAGACCACGCCCATATGACCTGATGAGGTGATTGTGTGTCCAACCCGCAAAATTTCGTTTCTGTCGGATTCTGGCACTACAATACGATCAACATACCTAGTTCCACTACGCTCATCTGAGAGATATTTGCGATGAAACAGAGGTCATTCGTGAAAAAGTAACCATCTGATTCTTCTAGTGCCTTTTGGAACTCTTCACGGTGTATCTTCTCGAGAGTTAAGTCGGACTGTTGATCCGCAATCAGCTGAATTCTATTTCGGGCGAGGATGTTAACTGGAAAATTATCCTTTTCAGGTTCGGTTGCCACAGTACCATTCTCGGAATTCTCCTTACCTTTCTCTTCCGGTATCTTTCCCTTCAAAGAGAGTTTGCAGATCTCCTTCGTCTGGACCCTCAGGTTTCGTCTCTTTTTTTGATAAACTTTTCACTGCTTTTGAACGTTCTCGGTCAATTAACTCATCTGCTCCCAACTGGGCTTCTTCTACTGCTCTCTGTCTTCGAGTCACTACGAAGGCCTCTTGTCCACCATCATCGGCTGCCGAAACGTTTTCCTCCCATTGGTCTAAAATATTTTGCCTTTAAAGCGTCTGTCAAAGGAGGACCTGCCAAGTAAACAATCTACAGGTAGCTTGTCCAAAACTCCAACTAATTCTACATGCTAACCGTCCTCGTTATCAAATTCAACCTTTGCAGGGAAACTGTTAAGACGTTCTCCCGCGGCTGTTAGTACTGTTAGATTTTCCTCCACCTCGGTTTGTTACATACTTACCCCTAACAAGTGGTCCTTTTCGGGACTGAACATGCAAATTGGCGAGATTACCAAGTTCCTCAGCAGTCTTTGGCTCCTGTTCCTTTAACCAAGCTCTAAGTTCAGGGCTTACTGCATCGAGGAGTCGCGCCATCATTATTTGTTCGATGATCTTTTCTGCATCCACTGTAGCCTCGCAAACGGCCATCCAGGGTCAATACGGGTCCTGTTTTCCCACTGAACAAAGTCCTCATCAGGTTCTTTCTCCGAAGTCCGAAACCTATACCTATAATGATCAGCAGTTAACTGGTAACCTTTAATGATGATGGCCTTACTTTCGAAATAATCTTGGCAGGCGGGGTCAGGAATTTCTAAGTAGATTGACTTAGCCTTTTCAGTTAGCTTGGGTACTAAGTTACCAACCCATTCCCCCTCAGGTAGGGATTGTGCCCTTGCAGTCATTTCAAAATCCGGAAATAATCATCTAAATCTTCACTTTCCCTCATTTCTCTGATTTTCATAAATTTGGGCCCTCTCGTCTCATTGTTACTCACCTGCCATCTTTCCGACTCTCTTGCAGCAAATTGTTCTTTCTCAGCTCTGAGTTTTCTAAGTCTCTCCATTTCTCGAATCAAACGTTCTTCTTCCTGGGACTTTTTCCTTTCATACTATCTTCTTTCTTTCTCCGCCTCCCTCTCTGCCTTGCGCCTCTCTCTCTCAACCTCCCTCTCTAGCTGTCTAATTTCCCTTTGCTCCTGTATAATTTTCCTTCGTAATTCTAGCATCCGCATTTCACGTTCCTGTAGCTGTAATCTTTGTTCAAAACTAAGACTAGTGTCCGCAGCAGACTCCGCAAGATTCTCGTTTTCCCCCACATCGCCCGAACTTTGGCCTAACCGATCAAACGTTCTTGGTCTGCTTGCTAAGATTTTAACCCCGTCCTTTCGTGGAAAATATATACATCAAACAATTAAAACGGGATAATTATTCTAATTTCTAAAGAACAATGCGATGTTACTTGTGATAGTTATTCTAAATTCTAAAGACTAATGCGATATTAATAAAATACACAGCGATTTTTGAACTACTTAGGGACTGGTCAAAAAGTATAGGGGGGGGGGCGGTGGGCCGGAGCATTTGGAAATGTGGTTGATAAAAAACACATGACCCACCCCCTCCCTTCGGCACAAAAATGACTGACCCACCCTTAAAGCAAGGTTGGAAATTGCATGACCCACCCCCTAGTTAAAACATGGATGTTTGGTTTCCTCTTAATAATCCAGTAAAACCTTGTTATGTGCTTGACAAAATTTGTTGATACACTGCTACAACCAATATCAACATCACAGAAATCATACCTTTCATTGAAAAGACAAATGTGAAAACCTGAACATTTCTTGTTTCCATGGACATTATGAGTCTTGACACAAATATACAGCAAAACGAGGGTATATTGACATTGTCTGTCACAAAGCATATGAAAATTTCTACAAAGACAACCCATTCCTACACATTACTTGCCGGAAATGCTTAGATTAATCGATCCTCAACGAAAATTTCTTCCACTTCAATGGAAAGCACTACCTACAAAACCATGGAACTGCAATGGGCACAAAGACAGCAGATTTGATTCCTTTGCCAATATTTTCATGACATATATTGAAACAACAACTCTAAGCAAAACTGTCTTTAGAACAACAGTTTGGAAATGCTACATACACGATATCTTTGCCCTATGGGACATAAGTAAACCAGACATCGAAGCCTTCATTGAACAAACAAACTTACATCACCCAACTATTGAATTCATGGCTGAAACATTTGACACTGAGACTGCGTTTTTAGACACGGTTGTATACAAAGGCACAAGATTCAAGAAAAAATCTATCCTTGATGCAAAGACACATTTTTAACAAAGGCAAACCTTCTTGCACACACATTTCACCTCGTGTCACTCTCCAA